ATATCAGTGCTTGCCCCTTTTTTTTACTGTTGCTATTCTCATGGTGTCTTCCTAAGCGACAAAAGAAATACTGATGTAATGGAGCACACGTAAGCACTCTCGTTTTACGAGAACTCTTCAGACGCCGCTTTGTCGATGAATTGAAATACTTATTACATAGACATTACGCCATTACGAAGCTGTTCGAGCATGAACGCTTATTCTTTACCTACCTTTATCTCATAAAATTTTATTTTAAGTACAGGTTTCGTACCGCGACAGAATTTTCCATAGACTTTGATTTACCTTCGAATAAGTTGCCTTGCGTCATGTCCTTTTTACGAAACTATCAGGAGTTGTGTCTGTAATTTTCCACAATTTTGTGAAGTTTATAAAATGCACTCTTCTGTGATAAGTCGTAGACTGTTAACTACCCGTAGCGAATTGTGCGTTATCAACTTAGTAACATCATCCCGCCTTAGGTCAATTATCTTAGGAAGCATCTTAGGACAATTTTTGCCTTAAGACCAAAGTTCGGGAATAGGGTATAACTTCCTATAGGTCTTGGAAGGAAAAAAAAGGAAATGACGAGCACATTATACCTTCTGGCGATTTCCTCCCGAGTAGACAGCGGTGGGATTTAGGTACAGTTTACTGCAATTTATAATCTTAGTAACAGCACATATCGTGAAACTTTCCCGTCGTGGTGAGCAATACATTTGGGATAATTGCGTTTGATAAAGTCTTCTCTGACTTAATATGATTATATGGCTGTGCAATGTGGTGCATAATATAGAAAAAGAAGACTATACGGCGACGTGTACGTGTGAGTTATCTAATTAACAAAACGGGAGGGAGGAAACGGAAACGATAGAGGCTGCAGACGATTTCGGATTTGCTTGCTTTGTGACATTGCCTTGGATAATAGTCGGACACGTCCTAATGCATACTGGAAGGAAAACGTGTCGAAAGCGTATGATTTCAACGACGTTCCGCATAATCCACTGTGGATACTTATCGGCATAAGGCATCATATCCAGTCACAGACACTGGATACTGAGTGTTTTTAGTTACTGTGAAGGTACCATACATGGTATACGAGACTTGCAGTAGCAGATGTGATCTAGATAATTCTCAATTTTGACGTAGAGATGCGTGCCTCGATTGTTAAAAATTAGGTGTGAGCTCAGCTATCAACCAGCCTTGGATTGTTCGTGTGATATAAGCGAATAGAAGTGACTGTATCACAACAGATTAAGCTTAGCATATCGTTAGTATTATTAATGAAGACTCGCAATGGAATCTTCCAATTAACGTTTTTTCCAATGCGTGTGTAACAGCCGGTAATGGATGTAATAAACACAGCGTCCCACAAAGAACTCCCCAATGAAATTCCTTGGACTGCCTAAAAAGGGTGGTAAGCCGGCGGTTGGGAGAGCCAGCAGGGTTGTAGAGAGCTTGTGTCAGCGTCAGATGCTGCGTCGCAAGGCGAGCACTTCTCATGAAAGCCGCTTTTCATTTGCCTCCTGCTTTATATTAGGCATAAGCTACTCCGCCAGAAGGAGCTCAGTGTGCCAGTCGAATGTGGGCAAATTCGATTCACAGTTTGTAAGCGGCACTGTTCGAAATTAATCAAAGCCTACTAGTTACCATGGAGACGTGTGGAATAATAGGTGTGATTTTCAGGCGAAAAGTCAAAGGCAAATTTTCTCAGGCGTAGGATTTATCAATAGTACCCCAGAACGAACTGATCTGTCAGCGTCTGATTCCTATATTCAAAAAGAAAACTGTTAGATCTATCATCACGTTAAATAAAGCTAGTTAACAACAATAGACTATGACACTAAATATTCTAAACTCGTTTTGCTCATGGTTTTATTCAAGGATTCCGTTGCGAAATTTATTTATTTTTTTTTTTAGCGAAAATAGTAATATCCCGCGTTGGGCTGAGAAGCGCTAGTCTGAAGTAGAAGCTACGATTTTATAGGAACGGTTGATGAAAGATGTTTGCCGCCCGTAATATTATTCCAGATAGTTTTTGTCACACTGTTATCCGTAAGCCAGCATACTTATCATTAGATGTATTATCTGTTATATTGTACTTCATGTTATAAGATCACACACAATTTAACGCTGGAGATCTGTTACTTTAACTACAAGGCGAGTTTAGATCTAATTTAAAATCGAACATGTAAATGCTAATAACGCGTCAACCAGCCGCGTACACCCAGGAACGCACGCGCATTAAATTGTTCACGTAGAAACGGATCCAATATAAAGGCGTACTACAGGCTTTACGTCGGCACCATACGCTCGCCTACGTTTACACCTAGTTCGGGTCGACAAACCGTCAAGGACATGAACGCATACGAGGGATCATCACAAAGGGAAAAATGTAGTGGTCGTTATTCCCGCAAAGGGCCGATTGAGTAAATATCTTGATAAAAGTCCATTCATGATATCAAGAGCACCGGAAGGACGGATGGCTCCTCTTAGCCATTACAAAGATTTTATGTCAACATGTAGAAGAGGCGTGGTCGCAAAAATAGATGAAATACGAATATAATATAAAGAGACAAGGTATACGCTTTTAGGCTAGACGATGTGGAAGCTGCGATGCTGTTACATTATGTACTACTAAGGCAAATTGAAAAAGCGCGCCACTAAAAAAAATCGGCAATGTAAACTGGTAGTCCTAGAGTTATAGGTTGGTAAACCCCTACAAACAGATCGCCAAGGCCCTATATCAATGCTTAATTGTCGGACAGCTGAAGACGTCGCACATTCACGTTGCACATTTAATATACTGGCATTCATCAATATAGCATATCACAGTACTCATTTAATGCTCTTCCAGGCATCACATTTTCTTTTGTTTATCTCGGATGAGGGCTTAATTGTAAGGTACTCGTGTTGGCTGGTGTAGCCCATTTAGTCAAGGCTGACTGAACGCCTTGTCGCGCTAATTTAGGTATCCTGTGACGTTAATTCTCGCCGCCCCGCGTCCATAAATAATAGAAAAAACTGCCTAAAGTAAAAATATTAAGAATACTAATGAAGTTTACGTATAAATAACATTTTGTCGGCTCAAAACGATAACTCGTCTAATAGACCTCTAAGGGTTCTATAGGCCGGCTTTAAAGTCAGTTACGGCCAATCAAGATCTTACATATTTACCTAACATTGATTTTACTTTCTTTGTTGGAAAAAAGTCTGGTTTATTTACATGTGGCTGTGACTATTTCGCATAGCGCATAATGTTAAGCGTTGGCCTGATGCTCGGATAACTTGAACTAAAAGCTGAATTCGTTAGAGCTCTACAATCTTAACCGATAAGTTCTAGTCGAATTATGGAAAAACAAGACTTTTGTAAAAACACGAATTTTGAGTCAAAATAGCTGCGGATCCAAGAAATGGATATGCAAATGTTTTTATTTATCAAAACACGTCCAAATAAACATTTTATAATGCACGAAATAGATCTAGAATTCAATAAAGCTTTTCTGTGCCTAGAGCTGCTTCGGTAAATCTAATATAAAATGCAGTAGGCTGCATTTTAAGCAATAAATCCTTTACGACGTAGAGGGTAAGGCTGGATTGTGTTGGCTTGCCAGAGCGAACGTCTTACGTTTGAGCTTCCGCTGATGCTCAGTGACACTTCAAGACTCGTTAGTTCGCTGTAGGTAGGTTCGATTAAAACACACATGTTCATCAGCGCCAGCCAAAAGTCCATTGAAGGCGGTTTTTATCAAGTACGCGAAAATGAAGACCGAAAAATTCGATATTAGCAGAGAAAATAGACTCCATTGGTTTCATAACAAGGAGCTGCGTCCATACATTGCTACGCCCTTTTTGAGAACGGGGCACTAACATCCATCGTTCCGCGGAGCGAAATTAAATCTCCGCGCTGTCCTTAATCCTGGGCTACCAATATCGGGTCGATCTCGAAGCCACTTCAACGATGAAGCTTTTCATCTTAATTTCTTTGCTCATAAACCTTTTACCAAAAATATCATATATGTATAGATTGATCGAGTCGGTAGAGCCTCCCGCTCTGCTCTCATATCTAGACAAGCAGTACAGCGTATCAAAATCTGTTTCATCGCCTGGCAAAGTTACTATTAGAGGTCTAATTAGAACATAAGGGAACATTTTTTCCCAAAAGGGTAGATGCGGAACGTTATAATTTTGTACAGGTAATACGTAGCGGCAGGCGTAACGGATTACATTCAGGGCCGGCGAACATTGAATGCAATTGATTGAGTGCCACCTAATCAACTTCTATCAATTTCTGTTTTTTGTTGTTGGGCGCTGTAGTTATAACAATAAACGTATTGCAAAACATAATCTGCTTTAATGACAGACCACTAGCAAGAATGATGACACGCAAATATGTGACCTCATCTATACTACGGTAGCCAAAATTGTCTCCAGTCAACGTTGTGCCCAGCAAATCAGGTTTGTTAACATTACATATGCATTGGTGACACTTTTACTGAATTGGATATTCTAGTCTATCTATTGCTCAGCAATAAGTTGATGACCCAGCCCAGAACTCTATTCAGATCAGTTTGATGAGGTCTATACGATAGCTGAAAAACTCGATCAGTTCATAATGATGATAGTCGTCATGATGCCTGATTGGAGCTTAGCTTTCTGGATCTGGAGAACACTTGTAAATTCAGCTTCGATTGATAGAAACGCTGATTAAATGATTTACCTGGGTAGCAGCAAGCACTAAATCGTACATCTGCTTTCTCAGATCACAATGAAGATATGTCCATCTATCCTTCGGAACATACGGACGCATCTGCTTCAGCGACTGCAGCTGGCCGTTAAAACGACAGCCAAGCTATACCTTCTTCTAAAGCCTGACCAATTATACACGCTTCTCGACAACCACAGCTCTTTATGCTTTAAACCTGACGACGATCTTTATGATGAAGTTATAAAATTAATCCTAGTTATATTTCTATTGCTCGCACAAAAATTATCGGTCTTCGCAATTTCTCAAGGAACGAGTTAGTCACCCTTTGTCACCTTTACAGCCTGGTCTCCGCCCAGCGTACCGATCGCATCCGTATGATATTTTCCGCGTGACTCAGGTGAGGAAATTTATGCGTTCTAGTCCTCAAATTAGAGGCTTAGAATATATATGAAGCTGCTTTCCGTCTCGTCCTTTATGCTTTGACGTTTGAGTCATAGACAGCTGTCAATGACATGTGAAGATCACGGCGGCAAAAGAAACCGGACTTGACCTAGAGCAAGAATAAATAACCGTAGTCTTTTCAAGCTGAAAGTATTATATACACAGGTGTACATTTGCTGTGAACAACGTCAGCATATGGTAATGGAGCTCAACTGGGTCACTCTCCACATTAAAGGGATCATAGGCAGTCCATTGTTGAAGGCAGAAGTTGATATTAGAATTAAGAACACTGCCAGTTCTTGACGGTACAGCATTCATTTTTTCTCACATTATTATTAATTGTTCCCTTTGCGCGAAGGATCGCTTGGACTTATTTGGATAACCCAATTATCAGGCTTCAGAGAATCAGGCACTCGGCCAAATTGGAATCAAGCTGCTACGACTTGAAAATGAGTAAGTTAATCCAGGTAGCATGGTGGTTTTCAGTAACTGATACAACCCTATCGAACTCTGAAGTACGCTATACTGACTACATAGTTAGTTTTTCGATAAGTTATTTATTTGCAAACGTTAAGATTGCCATAACTACTACTGAATTCTAACAAAGTTTTAAAACTGGCAAATGTTCAGAATTGTACGTCAGGGCTCTGAAATTTTCACGAACGGTGTTCCCCTGCAAATGACTGATTCATACATTGCATTTTTATGAACATAAAGACATTTATAAATACTGACAGTATAGGATTTAGGATGGCTGGGCTAGAGAAACTTTCCCAGCGTATTACTTTCCATCTTATCCCATACAACTTGCACATTTACATAGTTATAGGGTAAGATTATCTCGCTGAGCGGTCAATATGAACTGCTGGCCAAAAACCTCACAGTGTTGAGCGCTCGGCTAAGCTGTTGGCTTCTTGGCTGATGAGTTTCGACGTTTCGATGCTTTTTGCAGTACCGGAGTGCCAGATCCTAACCTCGTTTCGTTTCTGTTTGCCCCTAAGGGTATAGGTCCCACCTGGCCTTGCGGTCGCAGTTTCAGTGACAGACTTAGTATTAGACTATGTTCGACCTAAATGATTATGGTAGCAGGACGTAGTAGGCGTCTTAACGTTTCCAGGGGATATGGGGAACGGCTGTGGTACGTAATTTGTAATCGCCGCATTCATTGAATGTTGGCAAGCAGAAAAGTAACAGTTACTCAAGTCTGCGTATGCCATACAAAGTTGCTTGTATAAACTGGTTATATACATTTATCAAATTGGAACGTAACCACATTTCTAATATTCTAAGACGTCGAAGCTCATTTTACGAAGAATGCATATATCCAATAATATTCCGACAATCTGTAGAAACGCTGTCTTTTCATTAAGCTACATCATATTATTATTGTGACACTGTTTTCCTTAGATGACATTAAGGCAACGGGGTACAAGAAAACGATCTAGTTCAAATCGCTCTTTTAAGAAATGATTTAGCTTTTTTTTTACGGAAGGTTTTTTAACCATTCTTCATCATTACACCTAGCATGCTAAAAGCGTAAAAACAAAATAACTTACGTGAAAAATCGATAATCAATTAGATAATAGACAGTATAATCCTGACACAGGATTTATAGCGCGTTCACATATCACAACCGCGTGTTCTTCTCCAATACTAAATTCGTTATTTAGTCGAGCTTTCATAGTTTTCGTAGTAGGATTGCATGGCTTTAGCTGTGCAAATCAACTTCGTCTATCGTGACACTACAGAACAGCAGTGGCAGAACTCTTATGGGTAGGGTGATGTCTAGAATAAGCTGCCTAGAAAATGGATTTAATTTTTTGAAAGGCCCGAATCCATTTAGGGATTGAGTACCTGAAAGAAATAGCAGTGCGACATTTCTCAGGTACGCGTGACTTCGATATGGCTGTTAGAACTGCTAGGCGCAAGGGGTAATACAGGCATAAGAGGGTTCCACGGGGGGTTACTTGCGCTATACAAGCAAAGTGATATGACTGCCTCTGTTGATTCTTCCATTGTAAAGAATGTCTGCGCAACCATCGGATCAGACGGGGTTCGAAACGTTCTAATTTCAGAGAAGCAATCCAATGCAGACAACGTGTCGCAAACAGTCTCCAAACAGTTAAATGGACGGCTCTTAATTCTTCGTAAAAATAAAACACAGAAGCCTTTACAGACACGGGCATTCTATTCTGGTGGAACGTATTTGTTTTTGTACTTTGATAATGAGCTAATCGGCTATTCTGGGTTGAGATTCGGGTAGAAGGCTGCATATTTAGTTCGAGCTAATAGGGAATGTCGTTCTTCTTTGCACCACTATCGTTCGAATGCACCCGTTGATCACAGAGCCGTCCCTTGACACTTCTAAGGGTGATAAATAAATAAATAATTAATCGTGTAATAAATCGGGTTAAGGCAACGCCTCCTCGTTCGATTCAAGTTCTCCAATGCGCTTTTTTTTTGTGCGCATTGAGTATGAGAGGTAATACACTATACAGTGTACGTTATGTATAAACAGCTATGTACATACGTGGACAAGTCATAAGATTCTTAATAGGACACACGAAAAAAAGAGTCAAATCTGACAATTTCAGAATTACTCTTAAATCAGGGAGCGTTAATCTTTTGAATGGCCAGTTGGGAGTAAACGCCACGGCTGCATCGTTCTAGATCAAAAACAATGTATTTAATGTGTATTTCTTTTTTTATAATCAACAACGATGTAAATTGTGTGATATTGCGGAATTTCTCTAGCGAACTCTACTTTCGTTCAACCAAAGGCCTAAATCTCAGATTTGTATCATTTAAGTTTTTAGGGTTGGCTATTTAAGTAGCGTAATGTAAGTAAAGAATGAAAAATAGAAAGGTGCGGTAAAGACTCTCAAACTGTCAACGTACGGCAATTTAACATGCTTTTTCGATCATGTTGACCTGCAGGTGATCATGTATATAACCATGTTCGTCATTGGGGTGTCTGGAAACGTGCCAGTATTCTTGTCGCTCATTCGGAATCGACACAGAAAATCACGAATTAAAATGATGATGTTACATCTGACGATAGCGGACCTCATTGTCACGTTCATCATGCTGCCGATAGAGGTGAGCTTTTGCTGCGCCAATCGTATGAAGATGTTTCGTTAGATCGTATGAGTGTAGAAAGAAATGCGTCCAGTAACAGAGTGACGACTCCTATTCAACAGATTTGCGCAAGGTACACAGGACAACAGGTGAGCAAGCTACCTAATGACTAGGCGCACAAATAATTGATGTGCACTATTTTGTTTCCCAAGATTTTATATACCCTTTTTCTCCTACTTTTTCCAGCTTCTGCAACGGCCTATCGCGTTACGTACTTAGTCGAAAAGGCTGAAAATGCAAGTTTCATCAATACTTATATTAACATTTGAGAAACACCATCACAGATTGGTCAGCCCATATGCATTAAATACTAAATAATTAGCCTGCTGCCACCATGTTCGAAGCAGAAAGAACAAAAAGGACCTCTTATAGTATTTGGTATAGCAGCCGAGGCACCATTCAGCACTTCATACGCTGCGTCTACTATCGCCTAAGCATGCGGCTTTTCAAAAGTGACGCTCGGTGGGAATCTTCCAAATAAAACTGTAATACGCTGCGACATGCCTACTTGATGTAGCGAGGTTTATATATCCGGAACGTTATGCCGGACGCTGCAAGAACTTCGTTACCGTCTTCTTCAGTATTGGCCCATATTCAAGAATAGTGAAGCCACGACCTGTGCAACACTCCTGAGATATTTCAATACGTTTAGCCTGAGGTTAAAGGACTCGTGGAATTTTGCCCTCTGTTGAATAGGGCACGGCAACGTTGTCTAGGACGACTGCCTCCAATGCTAGCAACTCAGTTAATTTAGCTTGCGTTAGATTTAGATATTTCAGGCTTGAAAAATGCGTCTGGAAAACGATGCGTAAGCTGAGTGGTCAAGCGGTTTCTCGGGTCGATAATCTAAAATAACCGTAACTGATCTCTTTTAGATATTTTTGCTAAGAGCCTTTTTCGGCAAATTTACTTAAACTCCAAGAACAGCCCTAAATGTCGTTTAGCGACTATATATTCTAAAAATAATCGGTCTTCATTGCCTTTTATTAGTTGTGAAGTAGGCTTTTCCGTAACTAAGAAATCACGTCAAAACGTAAATAAAATCCTTCATGTGTGTCGTCCTCTATAAGCTACAAATCTCTTCTGCAAGGGCAATTGCAGCAGGGAAGTGAGAGTTATAAAATACGGACGTTGTATAGGCAGCTGCAATTATGTGAACATTATTGCAGAATGCTTAATTGTCAAAAAATGAATTAGGTTGATGGGTATTTCCATGCGGACAATATTAAAAGCTAATTTCTAAGAATCACTAGTCTCGTATGAGATATACATATCTCGCACACACTTTCTGATTGTACGAGCTTCTCGAGAACCGTAAGGCGATTCATAAAAGCCGGCTTCTGTGTATCGAAGTCGTAGGTTATCTATGGAAGGCGTGCAGCTTGAGCAAGAATTGGCCGGGGACTCACTGGGTTTTTCAAAGTACTTCATATATCTGTAAAGTAAGCTCTCGGTCTGCTCTAGGGGCCGCCTCTTCCGTCTCGGTTAAATTAGCCGTCCTGCTTTACGATACCCTCATTCGCGGATTCGGCTTTTTCTGCAGTGAGAACTGACAAAATCGAACTCTACGTTGCGGTGACGACTTGACCTTACTTGTTCTCCACATGTTTATGTATTCCGCGTTATTAGATTACTCCATGTCCAACTTGTATAGGTATTTGAAATAAATAATGATTATGATGATACTTTTACTATATTTTAAGTGGTATAGCTTTAAATGGAGTCAATTTCATCAGTAATAGTAGTGATAATGGAGCTACCAGTGTCCCCTTGATAGTTCCCTAAAGAGTTTAGAAAGACGAAATTCCCGGTGCAATATGGTGATTCATTTTCGCTGCACAATTCCGACGATACATATGCAGCTGCTCTTTGACGTTCTAGTTTCAGGAGTCGAGAGCTGGACTACACTTCTTTTCGAAGGCGTTTGATGGGTGTTCGACACCGGCCAGCCCAGTGGGTTCTGGGAACGATGGAAACTTGCTGTAGAAAATATTCTACCTTACTTTTCATAGACCATTTGATGAGAGCCACAAGGGCTCTGTAAATCGGGCAATACTATTATGTGAAATGAAAGGACAGTATGACTATTCAGCTAAACTATATTAACAGAGCCATTTGGCTTTTTGGATCTAAAGATTGTCTACGAAAACCTGTTCCTAACATAATTTGAGCCCTTGTGAAAATAGGAATAAAGAGTCTTCCGCAAAAGATGCTTATCAATGAAAATTGTACTAGCGTTGTTGAAATAACAACAATGGCAGGTTACTGATGAGAAATGCTGAGATGTACACAGTCCGTAACGGACAGACAGTAAGTAAGTTCCGGACCTATACACTTGGCAGTATTAAACAAGTATACGTGTCAAAGCTATTTAATAAACAGTTACTGCATAAATTATTTTATTTGTCTTCTGGTGATTTGAGCTTTGAGTAAGTCACAACCCTTTGCTTACTAACAGAAATTAGAAAACAGCCTATTATGCGACTTAAATGTTTGACTGGCAGTCGAATTGAGGCGCGGGTATTCGAATTGGTGTCCAGTCGTAAAGTACTTCTAGGCAAACGGAGTATTCTTAAACACCAATGGTATATATAGGATGATGTCTAAAATAAAATTTGACGAATTCATCAGAAGGATACAAAGAATTCGTACTAAGAATCGTGTGAGGCCACGAGTAAACGTGAAAACTGATATATTACGTGGAAACCTTCTGAATTCCTTTGAGAAGACGGGCGGACAAAATTATCAGTACCATAAACATAAAACAATAATGAATATATTAGAAGAACATAAAATAAATGTTGTCATAGGACTTTAAGAAACATTTAATTGAATGTTCTGTCATGAAATCGCGAAACAAAGCGTAATTGTAAGTAAAATAGTCCCTTTTTTGACGCTGCCAGAGCAGAATTGTTGTTATTACTAGTATTAAAGCATTATGTCATTAGAATGTGATATAAAAGGTATTTTGATGAACTATAATGAATTATAAAGTGGAAGTTATTTAAAATCGGCGCGCTTATTCATATCCGTTATGGGGCGCTGGATGCGATCGACCTAGCGCCATCTGGCACCACCTTCTAAACCTGTTACGTCATACAGAAATGTACTGTTCTCTAACTTTCGTGCGAAAATTCCTGCAACAAGCAGAAAATGCAAAAAGAATCATTAAGCATGCTTAATACTACCAATTGTTCACACGTATGGCTTGACAGTGCTATAGAAAGTTGTCCAAAGTATGTTCGACAAAAGTGTTATCGACAAAGGACGCATCGTGTTTTTGATACGGAAACGATAAAAAACGACGCTGACTGTTAAATTAGTCCAATAATCATCTAAACAGCGTCGTAACAGCTCTCAAGGGTTCGAAAACCGTTCACAACCTTTGCATTAGCGTTATTTTACATGATCGTCTCTGGCAGTTGGCCAGTAACTAACCGTAAATACATTTGTTAATATTATCGAATCACTGCATTAGTGCTATAACATTATCTATTACACAGGGAGCTCGATCGAAATTTTGGCATGGTGTTTGTCGTAGCAAGCATGCGTTCATCCGCTATTGTTGACACCAGAAAAAAAACAGTTCCTTCTAGAACAAAACAAACTTATTACGGAGAAAAGAGCGCATCATTTTCCGAATGTTGGCAAAGATCAGTTGGCATCCGATCTCTTCTTATTGGAGAAGATCATGCCAAGATGCTCCTCTAAAATGGACGGCCTACGTTATTGCATGGCCTCTTCGCAAAATCCAAACGATGCGAACGGGATGACCCTCAATAAATTTTAAATTAAAAGGGGTGAAAATTAATCAAAATATTTTAAAAAGCCATTTTTTTTTATATATTTCGATTTTCTATGGAAAAATGACGGTCGCTCTGAAAACGAGAAACGTGTTATTTTTTCCAGATACAGTCTTGCGAACAACTCATAAGGGAAAAAATCCAGGACCTGTGTACATATACCGGCCGAGTTCTACTTAATTCGCTGCGTCTGTATGTCATGCACATCCATATGATTGATTATCTCAACAAGATGTCAATCCACAGTAAAGATCCTTGAATGGCGAAACTTCTTGTCTATACGGCTGTCAGCAAATTTACCGATCCAAAACAATGAGAATATTACTCGAACTACTCGATGTTTGTAATTCGTTGAAGTCAAAAGGAGTTACTCTTGAAGACAACCATTGAATAAATAAATGATTCAACCTTTATGGCCGATGCTTCTGCCGTTAAGCATTGCTCATTTTTCCAGTAGAAAACAAACCGTCTTCGCCCTCAGCTATCCCGTTATCCGCCATAAGAGTTTCGTAAGCAAAACCGAAGCCATTACACTATCGCATGGACAACAAAGCTCCAGCTGTTGCTGCTGTTGCTCCAGTTATACAAATATACTACATACAAGAAATACATGAACAGTTAGAACATAGAACCATTAATGTATTTCTTAAAAACAAAATGAAGCATTATAAAGTACGTAATTTCTTGTATATTTGGACTTTCCGAAAAATATAGATGTAAAGCAAAATTAAACCCATTTTGAAAGCTATACTCCCCAGCACTTAGAATATAAATCTGTATCTGTAAGAATTATAGAAGTGAATTGTGGAAACATGGGATTGTGTGTTTAACCTGCTGCCTACTCGGGACTTTTGGTTCCCCTGTAATCGTCAGTTTCGGCTATTTTATAGAACGACTCATCACGCTTCGTCTACATGCCAAGGATTACTGACCGACAAGAAACTATAGTATGCATTCTGTACGCGCTTCCGATCATGAGTGAGAAATGACAAGCTCGACAGTAACTTCAGAACAATCTAGTTAGTTCGCAACTTTTACTTAGCCCCGCCCTAAACCTTACGTTTTCAGATTTTCGTCCTAGAGGTTGAACGGACGTCCCTTGTCTTCGTATGCATCTGCCGTTATGTCGAGTGATATGCCTAGACCTTCAATCTGCGA